CCGAGGGGCTGGACTAAAGCCTTCTGAATCTGAACAGGTGGTGGTTCATGGTAGTGTACCCCTTTAATTCCAGCACCCCAGAAGTAGAAGCTGAGGGATCCCTGTCCAGCCTAGCCAGGACTCACAGTGAGACCTGTCTCAAACTAAAGAAGCAAATAAACAAACAAAACATAAAATCCAGAGTCTGACCAGGTGCTCAAACCTGTGGACCCTAGAACCAGTTTGACTGGACTTCAGTCTCTGTCCAGCCATTATAGGGCCGTTTTCTGGGGAGGGTATGCATTCCCAGGAACTGGCCCCAGGAAAAAGCTCTAGTGTATCTGATTGCAGAAGCCAGGCTAGAGAATCAGTGTGATAACCTCTCTTTGAACCGGCCCTGACCCCTGTGTCTGGCTTTGTCACATCTACTAAGAGGTTCCTTCTTTTGCAGCATAGAGAACCCTTCAAGAAAAGATGGTTTGCCTTGGATTCCCAGGAGCGGAGGCTGCTGTATTATAAGAACCCTCTGGTAAGAGCCCCTTAGCATGTTCCCAGTCAGGCAGGCTAGTGCTGATCTCCCAGAATCCTAGGGAAGCAGAACCCAGGACAGGAAACCCCTGCTTCTCACTCAGCTCCATTCAGAATCCTGCTGTTAATGCTTAAAGTGAGGTGTTACCACTCCCTTGTAACCAGGATGGCTGGAGAGGAGTGGTTAGGACTATAGGCTCAGGAATAGTCCAGTTTGGCAGGACCCTGGGGTCTGTCCTGTCTCAGCCTTGCTGTTGTAGAGCCATGCCTTAGGCTGAGTATGCACTTAGCTCTCTGATGCTGCATTTTCCTTCTGCAGAACATTGGCTTAGCTTGAATGCCTTGCTCAGAAGTGGCCGTGATGAGTATAAAAGTCGCTAACACGTAAAACCGTTGACCTTAGCCCAGGGGCACCAGCCTGTAACCCCAGCTATTGGGGATGTTGAGGCAGTTGGAATGCAAATTCAAAGATTCCCTGAACTTCAGAATAAGTTTGAAGCCAACGTGGGGGTTGAGACTCTAGGCACAGTCCTCAGGGACCAAACCAAAGCAACAAACTGCCTTTGAGTTCCCTGTGCCTGGTGTATTCTCTATGTGTTAGTATTTTCAGCAGATTTGTGTGCAATGTAATTGAGGTTTGAACAGTTCAAATCAAAGTCAAATCTAGCAATGAAATACACACCTCTTTACCAAACTTGACCTTGGGATTGGCCAGGCTGCAAGGGCTCTTCTGCCCCAAGGCAGCCTCTGATGACTACATGCCTTCCATTTTCAGGATGCTTTTGAGCAGGGCCAGGTTTTTCTGGGAAGCAATGAGCAGGGATATGAGGTATGGGAAGACCTGCCCAAGGGCATCCGGGGGAACCGCTGGAAGGCTGGACTTACCGTCATCACTCCAGAGCGGAAATTCATCTTCACCTGCCCCACTGAAAAGGAACAGCGAGAATGGCTGGAGAGTCTGCGGGGTGTCCTGTCCAGTCCCTTGTCACCCCTCCACCTTCTCAGTGAGAAGCGGGGGATGGGTGGGGGTTCTTTTGGGTGAGGGCAGAAAAGGGCTCCTTCACTGTGGTCCCAAGGGGCCTGACTCAGCTTTTTTGAGTTTCTCTCACTTCCTGCCACAGAAAAGCACACGCTGCACATTTTTTTGCCAGAAAGTTCCTTCTCCACCAAGTTCCTCTATGCAGCCATCCTCATGAACTTCAGGAGGATTCTGGCCCTGGCAGAACTGGAGAGGCTGGCTGTACCCTCTGGGCCGATTCTCCCATACACACTCATGTCCTTTTTCTCATAAGAAAACACTGGCCTGGGATCCTTAGTAGAGGTCACCCCGCTGGGAACCCATTGGAATTCTGGATTCCTCTCCACCCAAAGGGAAGGCTATTTTTAGTGTTCTCTTTTTCCTTGGCCCTCTCTTGTTTGTCTGTCTCCCTCCCCTGTTCCTCCTCTTCACCCCAGATATGTCACAAGAAGACTGTTCCCATCTGTTGACAACCCTATGAAAAGCTGAGTTAAGGAGAAAGCCCCTGGCCCAGGGCAGAGCTTCTAGGGCTTAAAGGAAAAGCTCTGTATCTGGAAGAGTACAAACCAAACAGGTGACCCAGACAGCCCTGCGGGGGAGCCCTTGTGGCTCCCTCGATTCACCAGTATGAATACAACTCTCTCAGCCTGGTGGTGTAGCTAGTCCAGGCCTTTAATCTCAGTGTTGGGGCCAGAGGCAGGTAGAACTCTGTGTTCAAAACCAGCCTGGTCTACATAGTTCCAGGATAGCTGGAGCTACATAACAAGACTGTTTCCAAAACCCAAACAAAACAAACAAAAAACCTAACCCACAACTGCCTTCACTATCCAGTTCTCAAACCCAAGGACACAGAAGGCAGTTGACTGAGAGCCTCAGCAGCTACTCGCTGCCCTCTGTGGGCCTGAATCCCTGAGTCTCTGCCCCTGCTTTCCTCTCTGTCTTTACCAACTTGTCTGTCTCTTGTCTATCTCCTTTGGTCTTTTTTTTTTTTCTGTTTTATTCTCATTTAAAGATTCTTTTTCCTCTGTATTGTCCTGGCTCCCTCTCTCAGGCCACACTTGTCCCCTCCATATTCTGTTCTCCCAGCAGAACAGCACCAGCATGGCTGCCTTCCCCAGCCCCCATGTTTCCCTTGCAGCCACATCAGCAGAGACTGGCTGTGGTCTGCGGTGACCCATTTCGGAGGATCTGGCTGGCTACTGAGCACCTGAAGTCCTGGAGAAGTGTTCACCTCAGCTCTGGTTGTCCAGAAGGAAGTCCTGAGGCCAGCAGCTGCCCTGTCAGTGAACTCTGTCAAGACTCAGGGTGTGGTTGATCCTCCGGCTCCCTGGGCTCCTTCCAGCAAACACTTCCCAGTCACGAGGAGCTGGTACAGAGAATTCAGCTCTCCAAGCTTAGAAGTCCTAAAGGTTTGGTTCTTCATAACTGTACTGAGAGCTGGCCTTGGTGATGCATGCCTGTCGAGAGGCAGGATTGCCATGAGCCCAGTGACAACCTGGACTATACGAGGAGTTCAAGTCCAGCCTGAGTTACATATCAAGACCTTGTCTTAAAAGCAAGCAAACAGACAAACAGACAAACAAACAAACCAAAACCCAAAACAGATAAAACAGCAGAGACTGACATATCCGGAACAGTCACAGCCAGGGCTGGTTACACTGAGAAACACTGTCTAGAAAAACTAAAAACAAAAAAACAGAAACAAAAGCAAGCAAGCAAGCAAACAATGATAGAAACTACAGATAGGGGTAGATGTTGCAATAAAAAAGGTGTGCACAACATCCAGATCGTGCAAATGGAAAACATTTAAAGTTAATCTAAACCTAACTATGAAGAAATACTCAGATGTTCATTTATTACTTACATGTGGCTATACAACCAGCCTGGACTCTTCAAATGACACGGTTATAAAAGGTGAAATTGGTCAAGCGTGGTGATACATGTCTTTCGGCCCATACACTCAGCAGGCAGAAGCAGGCACATCTCTTTGAGTTCAAGGCCAGCCTGGTCTACATAGTGAGTTCCAAGACAACCAGAGCTACACTTAGAGAATTTGTTAAAAAAAAAAAAACTGAGGAGTGGGTGACACAGACAGACAGATCAAAGTCAGGGATGGTAGTACCTATACTTTTAGCATTAGGGAAGTAGAGGCAGGAAGATCAGATCTGCTGTTATACATAGAAAGTGAAAGTCTAACTTGGGCTACATGAAACCCTCATTCAAAGAAGGAAAAGGAGGAAGAGGAGGAGGAGGAGGAGGAAGAGGAGAAGGAGGAGAAAAAATCAGTACCAAGTCATGGCAACACAAGCAGTTTAGGATTCTTGATTGGAATCTGGATTTAAAAAAAAGAGAGAAACCCTAAATGTTGGGTGGCATCGGTGATGCATGCCTTTAAACCCAGTACTTGGAAAGTAGAGGCAGGCTAATCTTTGTGAGTTCAAGGCCAGCCTGGTCTACAAAGTGAGTTCCAGGACAGCCAGGGCTACACAGAGACTCTGTTTCAAAAAAATGAGGAGAGGAGCTGGAGAGATGGCTCAGCAGTTAAGAGCACTGTTTGCTCTTCCAGAGGTCCTGAGTTCAATTCCCAGCAACCACATGGTGGCTCACAACCATCTGTAATGGGATCTGGTGCCCTTTTCTGGCTTGCAGCCATATATGCAGGCAAAACACTACATAATAAATAAATAAATAAATAAATAAATAAATCTTGAAAAACCTGGGAGACTGGCAGAAAGAGAAACCTTGGAGCTGGATAGATGGCTCAATAGTTAAGAGCACTGGCTGCTCTTGCAGAGGACCCAGGTTCAATTCCTAGCACCCATATGACAGCTTACAACTGTAACTCCAGTTCCAGGAGATCAGACACCCTCACACCAATACACATAAAATAATCTTTAGAAGAAGGCATTGTGAAGGAGATAATTGGTATTGGAGAAACTAGGATCTAGAAGTATATTATATAGCAGTATTGTAAAACTGTGGCAATCATGATGTTTGCATAGAGTGTTCCTGTTCTTTGGAACACATACTGAAGTAAAATGTAATGATGGCTATGGCCAATTTTTTAAATGGTTCAACTGAAAAGATAATCAGCGAATGTATATATGTACAAAAATAGAATGCATGTGTGTGCATTTCTATATCTTTATACAGAGCATACCACTGGTGAATCTAGATGAAATGTAAATTGGACATTTATTTTCCTATTTGTGAACATTTTATATAGATTTGAGCTTTCATATTAAAACATTGATAAAACACCCAGGCTCTTCAAAGTCAATGTTTTTCTTCAAGAATCCAATATTGGGGTGGAGAGATGGCTCAGTGGTTAAGAGCACTGACTGTTCTTCCAGAGGTCCTGAGTTCAATTTCCAGCAACCACATGGTGGCTCACAACCATCTGTAATGGGATCTGATGCCCTCTTCTAGTGTATGTCTGAAGCAGCTGTGTACTCATATGAATGGAAAAAAAATAAATCTTTTTAAAAAATCCAATATCATTGGAGCAGAGCCAAGTACTCAGGGGGTTCAGGCAGGACCACTTGAGCCAGTCTGAGAACACCAACCTGGTGAGATTGTTTCAAAGTTCATGGGAGGGGTTGGAAGTGTAGCCTTCGGTGGTAGATTATGTACTTAATGTTGCATGGAACAGTGGTGACCAAAGGAGGTACTAGGGTAAAAGTATTACTAAATCAGAACAGATACAAAAGATTAAATAAAATGCAGCAAGAGAGAGCTAGGAGGTGGAGGCCCATGCTTTTAATTCCAGCACTCCAGAGGGAGAGGCTGGCTGATCTCTGTGAATTTGAGGTTAGCCTGGTCTACAGAGCTAGTTCTAGGACAGCCAGGCTTGCACAGAGATGGAAAATTCTCAGAGAGAATACCTCTGCTGCCCAAGGAAAGGGATTTCCTCTGTTACAAGATGAGTTACTTGGTTTCATCTTCTGTACTGCTTGCACAGGCTTCTCAGGGTAGCTAAGTGACCATCTGTCCATCTTGTTAATCAGAACATTTTCCAGTGCCTGTCAACCTTGAGGCTGATCATTCATGGGTCATTAGGAGGTCAACGCTAGAAGCTTGTGTAAGGAATCATAAGTCATGGGGCCAGGCTCCAAATAGTCAGGATCTGATGTGTGTAAAGTGTGGGAATTGCTCCTTTTAATTTTAGATTTATTTTTTTTTATGCTTAACATACTTCAATCATCAGCACTTAAAGACACAAAATAACAATTGTTTTTTTCTAAGACGGCTGGAGCAAGAGCTCAGCATTTAAGGACTCTTGTTGCTTTTACAGAGGACCCTGGTTCCCAGCACTCACAAGGTGACTCGCGGTGGATAACTCCAGTTCCATGGGATCTGTCGCCCTCTACTGGACTCCACAGGCACTATGCACAACACACACATAACATGGAGATCAGACTCATACAAGAAAAGAAAATTTAAAAAAGATTATTATTTTTCTTTTTCTTTCCTTCTGAGACAGGGTTTCTCTGTGTAGCCCTGACTCTGATGGAAATCGCTCTGTAGACCAGGCTGGCCTCAAACTCACAGAGATCGGCCTGCATCTGCCTCTTAAGTGCTGGGATTAAAGGCGTGTGACACCACTGCTGGCTAAAAAGAGATTTTAAGACCTTCCTCAGAGAACTCTATTTCTGCGCACATTTGAGAAGAAATAATAATAAAAAAAAAACTCAGATAATGTAAAAACCATGCTGTCTTCATCATCACGGTGTTTTGCAAGGAAGGAAGCAATCTGAGGAGCCACTTGGGTCCAGTTCTGCCATTAACTCGGGAACACAAGAAAAGTCGCTGAACTATTTGCCCTACTTATTATATTTAAAACGAGGAAGTCAGGGGCTGGAAACATGGCTCAGCAGTTAAGAGCGCTGCAGCTCCCGTAGAGAATTTGAATTTCCAGCCCTCACGTTAGTCAGGTCGCTAAGTACCTGTGACTCCAGCTCCAGGTGGGGAGTCCATCCTTTCCGGCCTCGGTGAGCGCACACATATGCACACATATCTAAAAACTATGTTTAACCTTTAAAAAAATATGAGGAAGCTGCACTGATTGTTGAAACTCAGCGTAAATTACACGTACTTGATCACTCGTCAAGTGCTGGGCTGAGACAGGCTTGAGCAGGGAGACCCTGCTAATGCAAACTGTAGCCTGCAGGGGGCAGCAAGCAGTAACGTGCTCAGGCTCCTTCCTCTCAAGAAAGTGACATTAAAGTTGAAATTCTCCAAACTATGTAGCGGTTAGTCAAAGGGAAGGGGCAAAGGAAAGAATTCAAGCTGAGGAAAGAAAATCCTCAAAGGCCTCAAGCTAGGAAAGGAGAACTGAAAGAAATTTCATATGACTGAAATGTTAAAGAGAAACAGATGCCCAAGGTTCTTGATCCATGGTTTGTTTTTTCTTCTCCTTTCAATGAAAATGATGTGAGAATGAAAGAAATGAAAATGAAAGAGATGTAAATATTTTCTCGTCTCATCAACAGAGTAAGGTGGTGTTTAAGAGTATATATATATATATATATACATATATATATATATATATATATATATTTATATTCACATACATGCATGCACAGACACATATGTTTTTTTTTTAAATGACAGTGCCTCATGTAGCCCAGGATGGCCTTGTCTTTCTCTCTTTCCTTCCTTCTTTCTTTTTAATTTTTGAGACAGAGTCTCTTAATGTAGCCCTGACTGTTCTTGAGCCCACTCTGTAGCTCAGGCTGGCCTCAAACTTACAGAGATCTGTCTGTCTGCCTCTTGAGTGATGGGATTACAGATGTGTACCTTCATACCTGATGAGAGTCTCTGAATTGACTGAACTTTCTTTGAATTCCCCAGTCAAAAAAGCAGTCAATACAAATTCTGGATATGTCTCTCCAGAAGGAAGCTCCCTGGGGAGGTGGATCCTCTCTGGGTTCTAAAGGCCTTCGGACATGTCTGCTGAGGTACCTGCTAGAGCAGCGATTCTCAATGAGTGAGCATGACCTCTTTGGTAAACTCCAATATCACATGACTATGTATAACAGTAGCAAAATTGCAGTTAAGAAGTAGCAACAAAAATAATTTTTAAAGATTTATTTATTCAGCCAGGTGGTGGTGGCGCACGCCTTTAATCCCAGCACTTGGGATGCAGAGGCCAGCCTGGTCTACAGAGTGAGTTCCAGGACAGCCAGGACTACACCGAGAAACCCTGTCTTGGAAAAACAAAAAACAAAACAAAACAAAAAGATTTATTTATTTGATGTATATGAGTACACTGTGGCTGTCTTCAGATACATCAGATCCCATTACAGATGGTTGTGAGCCACCATGTGGTTGCTGGGAACTGAACTCAGGACCTCTGGAAGAGCAGTTGATGCTCTTAATTACTGAGACATCTCTCCAGCCCAACAAAAATATTTTTTATGGCGGGGGGGGGGGGGAGCTGGAGAGGTGGCTCAGTGGTTAAGAAGAGCACTGGCTGCTCTTCCAGAGGTCCTGAGTTCAATTCCCAGCAACCACATGGTGGCTCACAACCATCTGTAATGGAATCCAATACTCTCTTCTGATGTGTCTCAAGACAGCTACTGTGTACTCATATACATAAAATAAATAATTCTTTAAAAAATATTTATGGTTGGGGGATCACCACAACACGAGGAACTGTATTTAAAGGGCTGGAGCATTAGGAAGGTTGGGGGCCACAGGAGAGCATTAGGAAGGTTGGGGGTCACAGGAGAGCATTAGGAAGGTTGGGGGCCACAGGAGAGCATTAAGAGCCACTTAGTCTGCCTTTTCTACCACTGTGTGCTCCTTGAGGGTATACATGGCCACGTTCTGGGCTGAGGAGATCAGTAAGGGCACAGCTCCCAAGCTCAAGGAGTTCGCCACCAGAAAGGGCAGTGAAGAGGCCGAGAGAAAGGAGAATTTA